GGGGGGGGGGGAGAATAAATCTGCTGACTGCCGATCAGTCAGTGATTCAGAAAGATAGATATGAGGGTAAAGGGAAAGGCTACAGTGAGTGAAGCAATAAAGTCTATGGTTGTGCTTCCAAAATAATCATCACAGTTTTCTGAGTAACTAAGGGAGCAGGCAGCCTCCTCAGATTATTCTCACACCTGTTCCAGACCATCTGCCCATAAATTCCACACCATCATTCATTGAAGACAAGTGGCCGTCTCTCTCCTTCCTTTTCTCCATTGGCCATTCTCATATACCTTATTTTTCTCTTCCAGATTATGCTCTTTCCACCTGTTTAAACACATTAGGATCTAGGAGTGACACATTGTGCGCTCTGTCTTGGTCCTTGTACCAGGGGTGGCTTCTGTAAGGAGCACTGGATTGTTAGGGGGCCATAAATTGTTCGGGATTATGCGCCTGTATTTCTTAGTGAATATGTAACTATTCTTTACCTATATTGATATTGATGTTGAAGAAAAGACGAAGTAACTCTAAAAGAATTTGTAACCTCAGTTCAGTAAGCAATAATTCTTGGTATCAGCCTTTTGGAAGAACCCACCATATAAGTCAGAGCAAACTGTCTTTAAGTGCTGAATTTACGTTCAGTGTTTAATCTTTTATATGACTAATGTGTACCTCGGGCGTGATTGCACTTCAGAGCGCGGAGATTATCATAAACGTTGATTGTAGGCAGTGTCTAAAGGACAGGGAAAGACTAATGCAAGATGCTATGACAACTTTAGTTAATGCTTTTTATGTTATCAAAATGATATATTGTTATTCTGCCCTATCAAGGCTTCACTTTTATATGTTCCCTACCCACCTTTTCCCAAAACCTCACAAGGAAATAATACTATCATTTCATTAAGTTCATCAGTTTAAATTGGAGTTGACACTTGTGATTGCCAATGACACTGGCATGTGCATTACTTTCACAATTCCCTCCCACGGCAAAATCGGACCTTCGCAGGGGAAATCAGACCCAGCAGTGGCCTAACAGCCGTATGACAGGCAGCTGTGTAGCTGGATAACCACGCACTTCACTTGGAGGCCCAACAGAAAGTCCAGAAGGCCAGTCCCTCTCTGTCTCCACTGCTCAAAGCTCACTGCCATCTTACTTTTCTCTGGCCAACTCAGAAATGTTCCATAGATTTAGGCGTGTTATTTAATGTCTGCAATACAGCTCTAATCCTTCATTATTTTTTATTGGTGCCAAATATGGAATTTTTGTGTTTAACTTTTAAAAATAATTAAAATAAGGTATATAACACACTTCTCTTTGTGTTTCTTTAAACAGCAATTCTTCCTAGGCTGGCTCTGGGCACACACGGCAGTTGGCCTTTTTTTTTTTTATCTTGGATCCTTTACTTATCTGTTCCACTGACTCATGTTTGTTCTACCTTCTCAAAAAGTAGCATTAAGTCATTCATCGGTACGCTTATTCATTATTTGTTAAATGAATCTTTATCAAACAATTACATAAGGAAAAGAGAAAAGGCAGAGGATGAATCTGGAAGGAATGGACTCAGTGAAAATCTTTCCTGGTAACAGGAGTTACTCAATTTACTGGAAATTGCATTTCATTATGGGGACTCCCAGACTCGGGGAAACCCAAGGCCTAAAAGCATCATAAAGTAATAAAAATACTAGCCACATGTTGAGTGTGGGCTTTATACCTGACTGTAAAAAAGACCTCTATAATCATTAGTGATTATAGACTGTCTGATAGAATTGGAATCTCCCCTTTGCAGGTGAAAATTGCAAGGCTCAGAGATAATAGGTGACTTGCCTAAAGTGGAATGGTCCAGAAATGGCAGAACTGGAATTAGCAATTTAGACTTCACAATGCCAGACTCTGTGCTCTTAATCTGTGTGTGTGTGTGTGTGTGTGTGTGTGTGTGTGTGTGTGTGAGAGAGAGAGAGAGAGAGAGAGAATGAATATTAGTTTAATATAGAACTTCTGAGAAATGGCAAGTATTGCCAGGTACCCATTAATCAATAATTTTGGAACTCCAAACTACACAAATAATTGTTGATCATGTGGCTGAACTAATGATCTCTTGCTCTGGAACTAAGAAAGCAAAAGGCCTCCAGAAGTTGAGCCCAAATTGTAAATTTACATAAGATAGTTAGTTATTATAGAGGACCAACGATGAATTCAATAACTGAAGAGCTCTGAAAATGCCGGGAGCATTCATGCCAGCACGATTTCAGACTGTGGGTAACGGGGGACAGAAGAAATTGGCAGGTGCATCTGCAGATTCATTTGTTCTCATTACTGTGAAGGGCACATTAAATGGATAAAAATAAGAAAAGTGGAAGAGACTGGCTAGCAACTTTAGTAGTTTGCTTAATCTCCATCCTAGGAAAGACTAAGCAAAAGGAAAAATGTCTTGAAATGATTTTTAAAAAAATCTATCTTTATTGATTTCAGAGAGAGGAAGGGAGAGGGAGAGAGAGAGGAGACAGAAACATCAGTGATGAGAGAGTCACCGATCGCCTGCCTCCTGCACACCCCTGGCTGGGAATTGAACCTCGATCTCCTGGATCCCAGGCTGAAATGATATTTCTGAAGAACTTACAAGTGCATATGGCCTACGTATATTTAACTTGGAAGTATGAGCTGTCAAGTCTCATCCTCTCTGATGATGGGATCACTTACTTTATTTGAAAGTATGAAACATAACAATGTAATAATCAAAAAGTCTTAAGAAAAGGGGTAGAAAAAACACTAATCCTCTTCAAAAGCAAAATTATAAAGTAAAATATGCTAAAGAATATTTTGAAACAAATAGAAAATTCCCATTACTGTCACAGAGCTTTGACATTTTATTTGGGTTTAATTTTTAGTAAGTATCCACATGTTTACACAGTGGTTGTCAGAAGGTAAACAGTCTTTAAAGTCAGCTTTCTTCCTTCTCTGCTCGGAATTACTCTCTTGCTATACAGTCTTGTAATTATAATAGAACAACGGGTGTCTATTAACTGGATACAGTTTACTTTACTAAAACATTTTTGTATTGTTGACTATTAAAGGTGGTTCCAATTTTGTTTAGAAATGGCATGCCAATGAACACCTTTATTTACATAATAATTTTCTAAATATAAATTATTTATTGGAGTAAATTTCTAGAATTAGGATTAATGTGTAAAAGCCTATGAACATTTTTATCTTGCCAGAGATTTCCAAATTACTTTTCAAAAGATCAAACCAAAGTATACTGCAAAGAACTTTCCCAACATATACTATTACATATAATTTTTTATTTTGCTCAATTGAACTGAAACCTTTGTTCCATTTCTTTGAATTTTTATATATATAGTATTGAGGTGGAACATCATGCATATTGTATATACAGTACAGTACTAATGGTATTTTCTCTCATTCGTCATCTCTCATTCTTTTCTGCCTTTTTGTAACTTATATCCAGGTAGCTGGAGGAAAATCATGTGTCAGGGCAAATTGATATTCTAATAAATTAATAATTACCAACTTTAAATGAGTTTTCTAGGCTGGAAATATTGTTCTGACTTACCATTAAGTGCCTTCTAATTCTCTTTTTTTAAAAAGCCTCCCCACTCTCCTCAAATTCCCCTCTCTACTTCCTACCTCTCAGCTGATGAGTTGCCTCATATCTTATTAAGAATAGAGAAGTCGGTAAACAGCCCACTGTCGGATCCATTAACTCATTAGCATCCGCAGTGATCATTGCATTCCCTTTATCACAGGATTTCAAGGTAAAAGGCCCTTCGCACTACAGAGTGTTTCATTTTCTCTCATCTTCTCAAGTCCTTCACAGCACTGCATTCTCTACAACCCATCTATTCCTTATGAATTATTCCCATCAAAATTCAAGCTTATTCTAGTCTGGTTACACCTACTTAAAAAGTATACGCACAGCATGAAGCCCTCCCTTACTCCTACGTATTTTCTTTTTTTTTTATTGTTGAGAGTATTACAGACGCCCCCCATTTCCCCCTTTATCCACTTCACGGCTGAGCTTTTCAAAATTATCTTCATATATTGTTTCCATTTCAGGTCCCATTTGTTCTGTAAGTTACTTCCATTGGCCTTCTCTCACCCCAACTTCCTTGCCCACTGCCCTGAAATTTTCCTGATGAAGGTCACCAGCAATCTCCACATCAGTGCATCCAATAGATAGTTTTTGTCACCATGGTTCTAGGCTCTTCTTTAAAAAGAAAGCAAAAAGCAAAGAAAAAAATGATTTGTTTTTATGCTTCTATGCTTTTACACCCTCAGAATCTTCTACCAGACTATATTTTCCTGGCTCCCTTTCTTTAATCTGATTTCTAAACATTCAGTTAGTGTCATTTATCATCAGTGGCTTATGCAACTACATGAAGGATTATTCTCAACATTTCGGCCTCATAGTAACAATACTATCGCAGCAGTCAATACCTCCATAAGGCTTACCACGCGCCAGACACTGTTGTACGACACTGTTTCCCATATATGAGTTTATTC